GTCACTTTCCCAAGAACTTGGCAATGTTAATTACACTATACTGCGTGGCGTAGCCAGCCAGACAATTTAGTCATGCTATGCCATTACTTTGATGTTCATTGACTGTGAAAGCAATAAATTTCTAAAGAATTTAACAATTCTAATGACTTGAAATTTTCATAGCACGACCAAATTGTCAGGCTGTCTATACTGGCCAAATCAATTGCTTAATATCACATCACATCGTCTTTTTTCTCAGCTCACCTATTAATTAAGGGCCATACTTTAGCCATGCTTTATTATAGTAAAACATCAAACATCTTGTGTTGCTCTATCATTTATTTTCAATCTCTGTGGTGTATATATCATTAACAGTACATCAGAAGTACCAATGTCCAGATATATCTTTGCGGTTGCATTGCTAGATTTCTAGAATAATCTTGGTCAACATTAAATATTGTTAAAACTTTAAATTAAAAGTACATATTTTTATCCACACACTCTCCCATTGGGCGATTGATGTCAGTAAGATAAAGTATATGCTATATGGCTGGTTAAAGTACTCCATTTGAATTATTTACTATTATTTCTTTAATAACGTTAGTAGGACGTTTTAAATCACCAAATCAATTTAGTAGTAAGATTTTATATCACCGGGATATTCTAAACTAAACGGTTTGTCGTGGTTTCTAAGATTAGCTACCTTGTACTCTACATAGGCTTTAAGCCACTGATGTTTCGTAAATTCAGCTGCGCCATATTTGTGCACATAGAGGTTTGTAACCTACTAACCACTAGATTTTAGTGGCTTTTAGTGGATTTTAGTGGATTTTAGTGGGTCCAACATGGCTTCAATATACCCTATAAACATTCACAGCATTATAGCTGGGTTGAAAATAATGAGATTTTTATAAATGGTGTCTTATTTATTTTACAGAAATTCCAAGGAAACAGCGACCAAAATACTATTGTCCATAATATTGTTTCCCCACCTATTTCTGCTCGGTTCATTCGCGTTCATCCAACGGACTGGAATGAACATATCTCGATGAGAGTTGAATTTTATGGTTGTAATTAATTGTATATAAATATAATTATATACCTATATGTTTATACAGGGTTTCCAAAAACCCCCCAAAACTATTGAAACCACCTATTGTTAAAATTTGATTGACTTGTTCGGGAATTTTTGCTCTTGCAGATGAACCCAACTTATAAAAATTAATGCTAAATGGGCCTACAGAAATTTGAAATTTGCTAGAGAAAAATTATATACTTATATTATATATGTGCAAGATAACCAAAAAAATTCTAAAGCCAACTTAATAAAATTTTCATGGTTGACTTTAAAGACATTCGGAGGAGAACCTAAAAGATATGTACTCCCAATAATTACATAGTCTAAGTAGAATATACCCACTGTTTATTTTAAATAGATCTTTGTTGTTTTATATTAATTTTATTAGCTGCTAAACGTTCAATACTACAAAATTTTTATTCATTTTAGATTCCGTGCCGAGGGAAATACATTTACATCTAAATAAATAACACATTCCTCTGTTCTACTGTTAAAACCTGGTTATGTTATCGTGTTTAAAAAAAGCGTGCATTTTCCATCATTGGACGTGTCTGTTGTTCGTTGCTATGTTGACTGCACGCTCATTGATTTCATACAACTCTTCTTTTGTCAGAATAACCTGCATGGTAATATAAGAAGGATAAAATATGTCATCCAAAGTTGAAGGAAAGAATTTCGACAGGCAGACACCTTAAAGTGTGTAAATTTTACAGGTCACCACGCGGCACAGTTTACCTAAAAATGACAGCTCGGGCAAAATGATTGACACAAAATTCATTACTGCTTAAATTCTTCACTTTCAGCTTGCATGCCTGGAAGAACAAGTACCTCATATTTGCGTATGGCTCAAAGTTATATTTACCCATGCATTTTTGTGGCAAAAATCAATTAATCATCTCATGGCGCCATGCAAAGTAATGTACTCCTAGTAGACGTTCCTATTTTTGCAATTCCGTCAACAACAAGCGTTGCGTAACAGAAAAAAAAAGTTGGTTGTCCTAGTCAGTTTCATGAACCTTTAGGATTCGGCACAAAAGGCAGCCACAAATACCTTTATAGAGTTATTTATACTTACCGTGTCATCAAAACAACTTCTATGCAGGGACCGGAAGATCTTTAATTGGGAGGCTATATAATATTCATGTATTCGTGTTAACAGTTAAAGTAAAAAAAATCAATTTGAAAAGAAAGGAAGGGCCTTCCACTTAAGGCTGTTTTTAACTGTCGCCTTTTTTCACGTACATGCACGCACGCCAAAGTTCATAACCTAGCTTCTAAGTTGTTAGCTATATAATTAATTTTATTGCCGAAATAATATACCTGCTGTATTGATCTCCCCTGCATGATGAGACACGCGTTGCCCAAAAAGCGAATTTCATTCGTGTCTGATTTTTTTTGAAATTGGTTAAGTTATAAAACTGCGTTAAACAAAGCCTTGCATGTATAGCATGGCAAACCGCCACCCATATAGCTCAGATAATTCCTGGGAACACGCACAAGTTAATTAAACTACAGACCTGCAGACGGTTAACAGGAATGTTAGGCCGTTATTAAAACTAGTGACCTGCTGGAAATATGGAAATAGGCCTACGCCGAAAAATGAACACAGTAAACATAATGAAAATGAATGACAGCGGTAATATGGAAATTCGTCATCAGCTTAATCATTAATCGAGATATCGTATTTGATTTACTCCTCCTACGAGGAGCTCGAAGCTGCGTGTTTGATGAAAGAACATATGTGTATAATTTTTCCCTAAACACAGGACGAAATCAACCACATTTGCGAAATGAAAAACGTTTCTACAAACCGGATGCTCCTACAATCTTCCATGTTTTTGCAGCTGCAATTTGTGTTTCTCACTGCTTCACAATACCTGGCAATTCGTCATGGTAAGCCAGAATAAAGCTTTATACTAAGATTTATCATTCATCAACAGAATATCAGTTAAGTTAATAAACATATCCAGTTGAGGATCTCGACGAACGTCCAGTTTTGTGAACTAAATTGAATAACTTAATAAGTCGATTAAATATGACGCTTGTAATTTTGACAAAAGTTTGAATAAAATAAATCTATTGTATTTTCATATTCCTTATTTGTAAAGTTGAATTTCGTTCAATGTAAATTTCTAGCCCTACGAAATACGACTCATTATATGTCCTGTAACAAAAAGAGTGATCGAAACAACGTTAATTGTAAGGCCACCTGATACAAATTGTGTGAAGGGGGATTTGGACCATGTTCCCACACTAAAATTTTGCGAGGGCACCTTTATTCTTTCGTCGTTCAAGGATTTTTGCAGAGAATGAGTTTACGGCTCCCCATATGCTTTCAATAACTGCCATGGATGTGTTTTAGGATCACGCTTAAGAAGCAATGTTATCGCTGAATTTACAGAAGAAATGGATTTGTTTTGTGAACTTCGATGCGCAGAAAGTCGTTTTTGTGTCGCATTTAGTTACAAGGAAAAAACGCGGGGAAATGAATTAAACTGTCAGCTTACCAGCACAACTGAGCATAAATTCAACGAACGCCACGAAACAAGGGAAGAACAAGTGTGGACGTTTCACGAAGCTAAAGTGGATCGGAGTCACTTTGTAATAATTATTATCGCTATCATTTTAATATAACGTAGCTTTGTTGTTCAATCTCACGCCAAAAGAGGAATATTGTTAGCAACTTTTGTCAATTCGCACGTGAAGTTTAGAAAGAGATTACGTTCCTTAAAATTCATAATTGTTCTAAAATATTCACTTAATATATTGACTCAATATAATGCTTAATACAACGTGCATTCGTATCAAGCCATGTTCAAATTTCCTAAACGTTGGCACAGATCGTAAGAATTTTCGAGACAAATTTAAGATATTGTATAAGACAAGTTTTAAACTAATTGCTTTCTTCATACTTGATGCTAAATGTTATTTATACGATGTTATTATTTATGAAGGCCAACTGCAGGGGAGAAGTTAATGAATGTCATAATGGCGGGAAAATGACTTGGCAAATAGGAAGACAGTTTTCATGCCGGTGTTCAAAGTGTTTTGAAGGAGAACACTGTGAAAACGGTAATAATGAAATTACGACGAAATGATGATATTATTCAGTATAAGTACTAAAGTGATTATTGAAAATGCTGGCCTCTGATTGGTCGAGTGACGTCGGATTACTATGCGATAATCACATAAGCAGATTTGCCAAAATAGCGTCGAGTTGTTTTTGGCAAAGTGACCTATAAAGAAATTCGGTTTTTTTCACAAAGATAGTGTTCCTGAAAGCACAAAAGAAGTGAGAAACGCTTTTCAACTTTGGGGGAAATGTTGTTTTATTTGAATTGCCGTAAAACTCAGTGTCCAGATATTTGTTTACTTTTATAGAACATGTATTTTCTACCGAAGATTCGCTTTGCCAATTACCGCCTTAGTAATTATACTAAAACAATTAATTACTCACATTCGGTGAATAAATTTTAAACATTCAAAAGCTACGATGATCGTCGTTAAAATTCATATTCATTTGATGCTTATGGAAACAAAAAATTCTAAAACTATAAAGGCATGGAATTTTCAAAAGATTTTGTTCTCAGAAAAAAAAATTTTCCGTATCTGCTCGCGTATCGTATTAACTCTTTCGAATGAATGATTCATCTGACATAGAGTCAACTTGGGCTTCCCGCGGAGGCGTTATAATAAATTTGAAATGGAAAAAAATGTTTAGATGTGAATGATACTTCATATTTATACGTTCCCTATAATACCGATGATCTCTTTTACGCGCAATAAATCACACTCACCCCTCGCCACCCATTAGAGCTGACATAGAACTGCGAACATTTATTCTTTCTTTGGCCGTTTTTAACCCGTATAGGTTAGCAAAATATCATAAACTACTGACAAGTGCAATTATTTCTTTGAAACAGTACGTAGAGAGGCTCTTGGGATGGAAGATGGTAGTATCCATGATAGTCAAATCACCGCATCAAGCAATTTTGATAATAATCATCGTGATGCTAATGGAAGATTAAATTTCATACCGCCTTATGGAATATCTGGTGCCTGGTGTGCAAGGTCCAATGATCTCAATCAGTGGCTACAAGTTAATTTTCAACGTCTTACACTCATCGCAGGAATCAGTACCCAAGGACGTTTTGACAATTATCAATTTGTTAAAAGTTACACTGTCTCTTTTAGCAAAACTGGAGGATATTTCATGTATTATACCCAAGGGGAAGCAACCAAGGTAAACTAAAATACGTCATACAAACTCTAATTATTCACCACTTATATCACGAGTTTTGATCTGTATTATCTACCTTTGTGCAATTATGTAGCTACCTCAGAGTTTTCGAGCAACGACAGAATTGGCAACATTGCCAACGCTGCTAACTAGTAACTTATATAGTCTTATTTTTGCGATGTTAATGTTTGCAGGCTGATAGTTTAGAGGTTTGCACTTTGGAACTTCTAGATTCCACGTTATGTTATGTATAATAAAAAGCACAATCTCGTAATCTCCAACATAACCCGATCCATTGTCCCTTTAATTCCGAATAATTTTATTCTGAATGGCTTATAGTTTTTCGTGCTGAGTTAACCATTTTTATCAGTTGCGAAATATGAAAACTTACTTTTTCTTCAAAAATGTATTTCCGGGTCAGTCCGGAAATTTGAACACATAGGTATTTCTTATTACGTTACGTTGAACGTTTAAAATGACATACAGCAACCAATATTCTTTTTCATAATTACAGGAGTTCCAGGGTAACAGCGACCAGAACACTATTGTCCATCGAAAGGTTATTCCTCCTATATCTGCTCGGTTGATTCGACTTCATCCAACCACGTGGCAAAATCATATCTCGATGAGAGTCGAATTTTATGGCTGTTTTTCGACGTAATTATGCATGATTCGTTTGTAATTATTATGGAGCATCAAATGTGGTATAACAACTGTCTAAAATAGACACTTTTAGTATATAACTTTTTGGTATAATTATAACACTTTTTTTAATATAACACTTTTAGGCAGTTATTATAATATTTATATACCACATTTGATGCTAAGTTGTTTTAAGACGCTGCTACGCTGCTCCCTGGTTATATTGGAACGTAATTATTATGGATTTATTGATTAGTTGATTAGGAAATTTGAGTTCCCCAAGTGCCTGAAATGTTCAAAATGGCTTCGATTTCTTGCTAAACATCTGCACGAACATTAATTTTTCGATTTACGCACTTTAAGAAAAATTGCAGAATTTTTTTTTACTTTCAGTTTCAGGCACTTTCCGAGCATGTGCACTAACTAAGGATTTGAATTAGAATAAGACAAATTTATATGGGTCATGTCGCAGCTCTCGGAAGCTTTAGTCCAATTGGATAATGGTTTTCTATACTTTCTGGAGAACGAAGCTATGCTATTGGTTGAAACAGAAATGTATTTTTAAGTTCAGCTAATGAAAAGCATTCTTGCGAGGAGCTGCGACATTACCCGTTGATATGAGAGGCGACACGGGATATTTTTCGCCCCGCGTTTACATGATTGTTTTTCAAAAGGGATGTTTTCCAGGGACGGGTATTTCCCCCGGGAATACCATATTGTTCAGTGACATTGATCATATAATGCAATGTCAGCGTAATATTGTCCCGGTCAAGCGAGATCGAGCGTTTGTATGACAAAAAACGTCTCGCTTAAACCGGTATCCCGCTTGCTCAAAGCGGGATCCCACCTCTCCGGGACAGGACAAAAAACATCCCGGTTTCATATAAGCACCGCACGAAAGATATTATGCGAACATATAATTATATACAAGGCGATATCCCGGTCATTGTCCCGTCCCGCCTTTTATATAAACAGGGCCTTAGGCATTCAAACTCCAGCTCTATTTAAGAATTAAAAAACGAGTCGCGTGCCTTTATGGTGTAATAATGCACGATGGGGGAATGTTGGGAGAATACGAGAGAAGCTTGTAAAACACGAGGCGTAGCCGAGTGTTTTACAAGCTTCTCGAGTATTCTTCCAACATTTCCCCGAGTGCATTATTACACCATAAAAGCACGCGACGAGCTTTTTTAATTCTTTTATAATATAAGAAGAAATTATAGGGCAACAACAAAGTTTATTTATTTGATCAATAATGAAATTCTCCTTACATGTTATTTAAGTTGTTGCTTAGCAACAAAAACTTCAAAGCCAGAAGCGTGCATTATGGCCTCACAATGCACGCGCGGTAGCCAATCAAATTGCTCGTTATATGATACTTATATTATAATACATTGTAAAGGCTAGTTTCCACTCAGGAAAAATCTCCTTTGGATCGGAACAGACAGAAAAAATTCCTTTGTCGGTGAGTTCTCAGGCGGCGTTTATACAAAGGAAACTTTACTGTCCTGTCCGATCCAAAGGGGAATTTTCCTGAGTGGAGACTAGCCTTTATGGGTGCATGATCATGATTTCAATGGTTTTGGATTTTTTGAGACACCCTGTACGTACTGTGATTAGATGAATCCAATTAAAGAATAATTGTAAAAAAAACAACGCAGATTTGTTGTTGATCATTACAGTCCATCATAACAAGAGGAATTTCGTTTTAGACCTATCAGAAGTTTGTTTACATTTTAAGTAACCCAATCAAAATGCATAAATTTAGACTACTTCCTGTAAAAAGGTACATTATTTACCACTTTACATGAAGTATTAAAAATTTGGCTTTGCCTGAAAAATGTAAACAAATATGCCGATTACCTTAAAACAAAATTCCTCTCTGTTGTCCATTACTCATTTCATCATGCCATGTTACCCGTGTGTTCATCGAAGTTATATAGGTATATTTTGTTATAAAACTTACTTGCACGCATTGAAAACTGTATTATCCACAAATTTTAATTAATGTGTTGTTTACGATTCCCATTAAAAGATACAGATAGATCTTTGTCGTTTTATATTAATTTTATTGGCTGCCAAACGTTCAATACTACAAAATTTTTATTTATTTTAGATTCCGTTCCGAGGCAAATATATTTACAATAACATTAAACAGATTCCTCTTATCTGCTGTTAAAACCTGATTAGTTTACAAAAATCGCCCATTTTCCATCATTAGACGTGTGACGTGTCTGTTGTTCGTTGCTGCACTCATTGATTTCATACAACTCTTCTTTTCTCAGGATAACCTGCATAGTAATATAGGAACGATGAAGTATAATGTTATCCAAAGTTGAAGGAAAGAATTTTCGACAGGCAGACACCTTAAAGTGTGTAAACCGCTTTACAGGTCATCACGCGCCACTGTTTACCTAAAAATGACAACTCGGGCAAAATGATTGACACAAAATTCATTAATGGTAATTATGCTTATACTCTTCATTTTCAGCTGCCATGCCTGGAAAAACAAATATCTCATATTTGCGTATGGCTCAAAATTATGTTAAGCCATGCATTTTTGAGGCAAAAATCAATTAACAATCTCATGCATGCCATGCAAAGTTATGTACTCCTAGTAGACGTTTTTATTTTTAAAATTCTATCAACAACAAACGTTGCGTAACAGAAAAAAAAAGTTGGTTGTTTTTAAGTCAGTTTCATGAACCCTTAGGATTCGCCACAAAAGGCAGCCACAAACACCTTTATAGAGTTATTTATACTTACCTATTTAAAGCGTGTCATCAAAACAACTTCTATGCAGGGACCGGAAGATCTTTAATTGAGAGGCTAATATTCATGTATTCGTGTTAACAGATCAACGTAAAAAAAATCAATTTGAAAAAAAGCAAGGGCCTTCCACTTAAGGCTGTTTTTAACTGTTGCCTTTTTTGCACGTACGTACACGTAGGCAAAAGTTCATAACCTTCTAAGTTGTCAGCTATATAATTAATTTTATTTCCGAAAAAATATACCTGCTGTATAGATCTTCCCAGCGTAATAAGACACGCGTTGCTCAAAAAGCGTATTTCAGTCGTGTCTGATTTTTTTTGAAATTGGTAAAGTTACAAAATTTCGTTAAACAAAGCCTTATAGCATGGCAAACCGCCACCCATTTAGCTCAGATAATTCCTGGGAACACGCACAAGTTCATTAAACTACAGACCTGCCGACGGGTAACATGAATGTTAGGCCATTATTAAAACTATTGACCTGCTGAAATTATTGAGATAGACTTACGCCGAAAAATGAACAAAATAAAACTTAATGAAAAGTCCAAACATAATGAAAATGAATGACAGCGGTAATATGGAGATTCGTCATCAGCTTAATCATTTATCGAGATATTGTATTTCATTTACTCCTCCTACGAGGAGCTCGCAGCTGCATTTTGATGATACAACATATGTGTATAATTATTCCCTAAACACAAGACGAAATCAACCACAATTGCGAAATGAAAAACATTCTTACAATCCGGATGTTCCTACAATCTTCCATGTTTTTGCATCTGCAATTTGTGTTTCTCACTGCTTCACAATACCTGGCAATTCGTCATGGTAAGCCAAAATAAAGATTCATACTAAGATTTATCATTCATTATCAGAATATCATGCAGCTATATTAATAAACATGTCCAGTTGAGGATCTCACGAAATTCCAGTTTTGAGAACTAAATTGAATAACTTAAAGTCGATTAAATATGACGCTTGTAATTTTGACAAAAGTTTGAATAATATAAAACATTTTAGAGTTCTATTGTGTTTTTTTTTTAATCCTTATTAGTAAAATTGAATTTTCTTCAATGTAAATTCCTAGCCCTATGAAATACGACTGATTATATGCCCTGTAACGAAAAGAGTGATCGAACACAACGTACATTAATTGTAAGGCCACCTGATACAAATTGTGTGAAAGGGGATATGGACCATGTTCCCACACAAAAATTTTGCGAGGGCACCTTTATTCTTTCATCGTTCAAGGATTTTTGCTGAGAATGAGTTTACGGCTCCCCATATGCTTTTCAATAACTGCCGTGGATGTGTTTTAGGATCACGCTTGAGAAACAATGTTATCGCTGAATTTACAGAAGAAATGGATTTGTTTTGTGAACTTCGATGCGCAGAAAATCGTTTTTGTGTCGCATTTAGTTACAAGGAAAAAACGCGGGGAAATGAATTAAACTGTCAGCTTACCAGCACAACTGAGCATAAATTCAACGAACGCTACGAAACAAGGGAAGAACAAGTGTGGACGTTTCACGAAGCTAAAGTGGATCGGAGTCAGTTTGTAAGAATTATTATCGCTATCATTTTAATATAACGTAGCTTTGTTGTTCAATCTCACCCCAAAAGAGGAATATTGTTAGCAAGTTTTGTCAATTCGTACGTGAAGTTTAGGAAGAGATTACGTTCCTTAAATTCATAATTGTTCTAAAATATTCACTTAATAATTGTGACCTTCCACAGGAAAACATACGTTAACGCTATTTCGTTCGTTCGAAAATATCGTTCGTTATCCGTTCGTTTGCCGTTCAAACGCTTGAAGCGTTCGTTGAAACGATTTTCGAGATCGTTCATCGTTCGAAATTGCCCGTTCGAACGCTTTGGAGAAAACGTTTGAAAATTGGTCCAAAAGCGTTCAACCGTTTGATTTACCGTTCGTTGAAACGTTTGCCGTAATTTCGTTCAATCGCATTGGATTTGGTTCAACATATTAGATTAAACATTTGCAAATTTACAACTTTGTAGAAGAAGCGCAGAATGTGCTACACAGAAATACTCCCAGAAACGTATTGAGTTCCTTAGTAGAAGGCTTGTAAAGGAAATAGTGAGGTTATATCGTTTTAGCCTAATCGAATGCTATTTTGTGCGCTTCATGTTATGGTTTATGCCTAGCGTCATGCAGACATGAAGGCTATTAACATTCAGTGCATGCAATTATTTCATTAGCGTCAAATTTCACGTCGTAAGCTTTCTTTAAAAAATTTATCGTTTTTTGAATTTCGGTAATGCACTAAATGGTTAGAATTTGTGCTTTACTATACTTCTGTAGCTTCCATAAGCCAAATTTCACCGCGCGCACAAACAACTTCTCAAGCCATATATTAGCATTACGAGCCATATAAATATGCCCTAGCAAGGTGCTAATTAAGTTGCATAATTGTCGGAAGTCTCTAAATGTATGTAAACAGACAAAACCAGATTTTAATATGAATTGAGGGATTTTGCGTGTTACATATTAATATCGTACTTGTAAACCATGTGTATATAGCTAATTTATTTACATCTGATAAACTTATCTAGCTGGGCCTCCGTGCGAAGCAGCTACTGATTAAAATCTATTCAAAATTAAGGACCGCATCCTAGGACGGACATTTCAGCTTGAAATTCGTTGTTTTTAATGCAGTCTGACATAGCTACAAATTATACAACAATTGAAATACCCTAGCTAATATTTGAAGACATAAATACAGTGACCTAACGCGCGTTCGGTAGGGTTACAACGAGAACTAAGAGATCCCCATTTATTGGGGGCCAGGATAGATAACGAAACATCATAGTATAAGCAAAACGTGATTTATGAAACAGCGAATTAAGGGACCCCGCAGTACCAAGTATACCTCAAGACCCCATCCTCAGCTCTGTTCGTTACGCCACTGCATGAATATCATAGCAATTCAAATATGTACGTGCATCTAGTCTAAAACTGGAGCCGGAGAAACAAGATCCTCAGTGCCCCGCTTACA